AGAGCAGGTAAACTCAAAGAAAAGCACACAAGATCGTGTCTCTTCTCACTTCCAAAGGTCAGCGCTGCCACAGGGGTGGCAGGTCGAAAGAGCAGGTTATGACAGAGGTTACACCAGGGAGTGAGTCCAGATGCCGCTCCCGGCAGCCGTCTGTGCCAAGGAGCTAAAGGGAGATGCCTTTACCTGCCAAGAGGGAGAACCCACTCCTGCTGGGGTCCATCACCAGCTCAGGTGGGAGCCGGGGACAGCAGGGCCAGGCAGGCTCAGTATGCCAGGGGGTAATGGCTGATGAAGGCAACCTCTACCACCACTGCTGACCCACCCCCCATAGAGCCGTTTCTAAAGAAACAGGTTCCTTCAGAAGCCCCAGAGCACTGGTCTGCTCCCGTTTTACATGACTCTTGATGCAACAAGCACCTCCAGAGTCCCAAGAATTTCCTCCAGAAGCACTATCTTCCCCCTTCTCCCCCCCCTTTCTTTCTTGGAGGTGAATCTAAGAGAATTGACACTGCACCCTCCACGGAGAGGACAGAGGAACAGAGACAGTTATGGCAGTCATCATTACGGGTGGCTGTCATCAGCCAGCCCTTTTATCTATGATCTTTTGCAGCCTGCAGACATCTGCAGACCTGGTGTTTCTTGTTCTTCCCTTTTGGATTTCCTCCCCCACTCCAGTTCTCATTAAGTCAACAACCTTACCGATGCTTCAAAAAAACAGAATAAACCCTTGCCAGCTGGGAAATGTTTGGACGTAATATTCAAATTATCAGATGGAGAAAAAAAAAAAACCAAACCATCGGACTGATATCAGGCCTGGCATAGATGAGCTGAGCCATGCAGCAACATCCATGAGCATGAGGTCACGGTTCAATAGCACAGGCAGCAACACCAGCTCTGACAGTCCCCTGTTCAGCGTGACACAATTTGCTCCCTCCACTCTCTGCCTTTGGCAACACACAACGTGTGAGCTGTGCCAGCTTCTGCTTTTCCGGGTCTGCACCACGGATGTCCCTCCCAAAAGAGTTATATTTAACCCAGGGCATTTCAGCAACACTGTTTACTACACAGCCCCACAAAACAAGGCGACAGCAAACTGCAGGAGAGGGACAGGAACTTTTTGGACTGGCTTCCACCCGTGCCAATATCTCTGCTGGCTCCAAAAGACACATGCTGTGATGAGACACCATCAGAATTCGCCCTTCTGCTGCAGGCAGGTAATTGCCAGCTCAGCTCCCACCTCCCTGCTCGCCAGCAGATGCTGGGAGATGGGTCAGCGTGAGTAAGGCTGTTTACCAAAGACACGCCAACAAAGCCCAGGCCAGCAGCAAAGCCCAGCAAAAATTCACCCTGGAGTGCTAGGAGCTGGGCACCGATGAGTTTTGCCATGGTTCAGTCACAACCACGCATCTGAAGAAGATGGCAACAAAGGACGTTTCAGAGCGACACGGTGACGCAGCCGCAGAATGCACAACGTGGTCCAGTTCCTCACAGAGCCCGGATTTAGAGTTCTTTTAAGACAATAATTCGCTGTTACATTTACACTGAACATTCAAGGAGGGCCGATATGCACCCTGAAAGTATGGCATTTTATTTCCCTTCTCCTCTCCCTGCTGGCTCAATTTCCTGGTGGCAAAGCCTCGGCTCCAGTGAAGACACAGCAGGTGAGCCTCAAAGGAGGGGAAGCTCCTCTGGGGTCTTAGTTCCTCCAGCCTGGTGGTCCCCCAGCCCTCCCAGCAGATGGGACAGACTGATGGAGGTCTGGATGCTCCCTGGCAATTACACCCAAGGAATTCCTCAGGAGCATCCTCCCCAGCTCACCCCCAGACAGCCCAGCGCCTGGCACTGCCGCTCAGGGGACATTCCTGATCCTGCTTTCCAACATGCACGTGCCAAGCCTGGAGGCAGACTCGTTGGGATTTCACATCAACCCGTCTTTTGGTGTTCAAAAGACGGGTTGATGTAGTGCTGGGAGGTATGGTTTAGTGATGATGCTCCTTGTTTGTTGTGTGGGTGACTATTTTTGTCAGTTAGGTTGACGGTTGGACAAGATGATCTTTAAGGTCCCTTCCAACCTAGAAGATTCTGTGATTCTCTGATCAATTCACATCGTACCGTGGTAAAATAACTGCATTGTACATCAGAAGCATGCAACGGACCCAGATTAAGAAGCTGGCCTTAAGGAACAATTAAAGATTTCTGGCAAGGGGGCAGGGCGAGGAATACCAGCAGAGCCCCCGAGCATCTCCTCACTGACTTACACCCAACTTTGCATCTTGTTTTCCAGATCTGGGGTGTGGAGGAGAGAGGAGAAATAGGTGATGGATCGGGCAAAGCAAAGTTCCAAAGAGATGCTATATTCAGAAAAATACTCTGATATTCACAACTTCACTCCAACAGATTTTGCCAAGGCTGCCAGACTTGGTATTTATAGACCATGATGAAATCAAACGTACAACTACACTCAAAGAACAGAGGAAGTAATTTGCCACAGAACAACTTTCTGCACCCAGTAAAGTTTCTGTAAGGCTAAAAAGAAAGGAAAACACCCCTGTGAGATTAAAGTATTACAAGAGGTACAAAAGAAAACGTTTCCCCAAGCTACAGAAGCTGCAAGAAGCCAAGAAAGCCCGTTATTTCCAATGTTGAAGTTGAAGATGTCTAATCCAGAAGTGAACAAGTATCAAAACTGTAACCACTGAAGTTTGAAAGCAAAGGGAGAGAGAACCATTTTGGCTCTTCCAGGTGTTAGGCTGGAGATTTTCACTTTAAAAAAGGGATGTGTGTACTTTTCAGCTGTATGACGCTTTTAAAAACATGTATTGGAAACAATTAGGTGAATTTCTAAGCCGCCCTCTCATTACTATCCTTACCATCCCTCTCCCAAAGGACTTCACAAGTTCATTCCCAACTTGGAAGTGCTGGGAGAGACTTTCACACCGCCAATGCCCTGCTGGGATAGGAAAGTGGATCCCGCCTCCAGCAGCATTTCCAAAATTAATACCGCACACCAGCAACAACATCAAACTCTTGCAGTACCAATTGTTTTTAAAAAACAAAACATGAGAACCACCGTTATTACTCCCGGTAGTTCCTGACCACTGCACTACCCGGCCTTCACCAGCCTCCAGCACATGCCGGGCCACATCCTGCCTCCACCGAAGCCTTTCTTTACAGCCCAAAACCCCATTCTGCCCATCGCTGGGGGTTACTATCAGCTAAAACACTCCCCAGCGACAGCCCCATCACTTTTCTCTGCATCCCAGTGCAAACCCAACCCGCTTTTGGGCCAGCCCTTTGAAAAACAAAAGCGCCCCGAGACACTCTTCCCCAGAAACACATACAACACGGCGTGAAAGAAGCCCTAATTTTGACCACCGCCGGCCACGGAGCCAGGGCCTGCTTCCTGGGAGCCAGGGCCTGCTTCCTGGGAGCCAGGGCCTGCTTCCTGGGAGCCAGGGCCTGCTTCCTGGGAGCCGGGACCAGCTTCCTGGGAGCCGGGACCAGCTTCCTGGGAGCCCCCCAGCCTCTGACCATCCCCCAAAATACACACATCCCCCCTCTATCCTGACAGGCCCCACAGGAGGAACCCCGGGCTCCTCTACCCCAGGAGGCCCATAGGAAAGCCCCCCGCCCGCACACTCCTCCATCGCGGACGGCCCCACGGGAACACACCTCCCCACCCCGGGGAACCCCAAGGGGACCCTCACCCTGCTCCCCTCTCACGACACTAAGGGAGACCCGCCCCTATTTTACCCCAGGGCCACCCCAAAAAAACACCCCCCCTCACCGCTTCCCTCTCCGGCGCGGCCGGCGGTGAACCCGGCCCTGTCCCCCTGCCCCGGGAGCCGGCCCCGCTCCGCTTCCCCACCCCGGGGAGCCGCCCCCGCGGCCCCACCCCACTCCTCAGGGAACCCCGCCGGGTTCCGCCGCCACACCGAGCGGTCCCCCACCCGCACCGGACACCCCCGGGGTCGCGGCCGGGCCGGCGGAGCAGGGCCGCCCCTCACCTCCGCCTCCGCCGCTCTCCCGCCGCGCCAGGCCCAGCGCC